CTCTTACATTCCGAGTCGTGTGATTGGACTGAGAGTCGGTGAGTGTGAAGGCCTTTGCACATGAGAAGAGGAAACGACATGGACGGAGAGAAATGAGAGGAGAAATATTCAGGGGGACGCTCTGACCCACAGGCTGTAACACACTCACGCTGTGACCCCGATGTTGTTGTTGTGTGCCAAGTAAACAGACTGTCATTGTTTGTAATCCACTCTGTTGCTACGGCGATCAGTAGCACCCTGACGGTTGCCATGGCAGCTGAAACACACATGCACACTTCTCGTGCACTCTGCCTCTACGAGGGAAATAACAATTCAGTGAACTCCATTATAAATTCACCTAATTTAAAATGTTCCTTCTATTTTTAGCAAATGTATAAAGACTATAAAATAATTTGAGATATATGATGGAGTAGTGACGTATGCTGGTAAATTCAGCTCAACACAACCACAGAATCACTTGTACTGTTGTAGAGAAAGAAGGGTTTTATGCAGTTTTTGTAGGTTAAAACGTTTTATTGTGTGAAAGTTTTAAGTGTGTTTTGTTTTTTTCTAAAGAATTAAAGCTGCATTCTCCAAATAAACACGGTACATATTGCCACATTTCAGTCCTGTCAGTAATACTCGAGTCAAATTGACACATTTTAAAAACAAACTCCAACAAACTGTTTATAGATCATCAAACTAAACACATTTAAACTACGATTATCTTTCAGATGAAGGTGTGGGACTGCGTTATGTGACACATCTTTAATTCATCAACAGGAAGTGTATGTCTTTGTCGACGTGCCCTCAGTCTCGGGGGGGGGGGGTTTAAATAATTAACAGTGTAGGAGTTCAGTCCAAATGTGATGTGAACCAGAAATGGACTTCCTGTTCCAAGTGTTTTTCTGCACAGCGGAGTAAACAAAGCAGTAGGAACTTTACAGTGAGTAGTAGATAAAACTTTATTTTTGCGGTAATTCTTTCAGCTTTTTGTAATAATTTTCTTTCGGTCATTTTTCTTTATTTTTCGTTTGTGTTTATTTTGTATCTTTATGTTGTAAATACATCTTATTTTGTGGTCATTTGTGTCTGTTATCTGAGCAGATTTTTATTTCAGACATACTTTTTACTGCACTACGTGTGTTTGACATGATGCTTTAGTGCTTAGGAAACATTCTGAGTGCAGGACTTTTACTTGTGACAGAGTATTTATACTCTGTGGTATTGCTATTTTACTTAAGTACTTATGAGTTCTATGTCAATTCTCTCCAGCATCTTCTGACCTTTGACTCTCCAACACGATGACCCGTCTTCATCATCGTCACTACATACCTCGCCATGGTCACCCATCTCTTCGGTGACCGACCTGTCCACCGCCACACGCCCCACCTCCCCTGTCTGCTTTTGTCCAATCAACTGCAAGGATGCACGTGATGGGCAGCATCTCCCCGGCCAATGAGAGGGAGGGCTTCTCCATCCAGGAGGAGGGCGTTGCCGTGCCGACGTCTCCTTCTAGTACATCAATATTTTCTGATATTGAAGGCAACCAGACAAGACCATCTCGCCCTGTTCCCCCTCCTCCTCTTCCTCCTCTTCTTCCTCCTCCTCCTCTCCCACCGCCCTTGCTTCCCGGACTGGGAGACCCCGCGGGAGGAGACCTGAGGAAGAAGGTGAGGCGTTTCTTCTGGAAGACGATACCAGAGGAGCAGGTAAAGTCACAGCTCAGCACAAGAGATTCACACGTCCATCACGTTAAAGCGCTGATTATTGTCATGTCGTTTATATTTATGTTGTGTGTCACAGGTGAAGGGGCGGGACAACGTGTGGACTCAGGGCCAAGCTCAGCAGCATTATCAGATTGATGTCCAGACCGTTGAGGAGCTGTTTGGTCAGAACGACAGCCAATCAGATTCCACACCCACCAGGGGAGGGAAGCTCAGGAGCTCATTCAGAGAAACCAGAGAGGAGGTGTGTGTGTCTGTGTGTGTGCATGGCAGAATATGAGAAAATGAGCCGGGTCCCCTGTCCCTCATACGTTTGACACCCAGACTGAAACAGAGACAAAATGACCACAGCTGCACTGTTTTCTAGTTTTTGTGTCTCGTTCAGTTGTTGTGAGCCTCCTTGTAGCCGTTTGTTTCTCTGTAGTCTGTTTGTGTCTCTTTGTAGTTGTTTTTTCTAGTTGTATTTGATTTGTGTTACTTTGTAGTTGTCTTTTGTTTCTGTCATTTTGTTGTTTTGTGTCTCTGTGGTCACAATTTGGCTTTTTGTAGTTTTTTTTGTGCGAGTGTCTTCATGGTAATTTTGCGTCTCATTATACTTCATGTCTTTGTAACTGAGCTCTTTGACTTTCAAACAAGACGTATTACCTGTCACTTCATACAGGGACTGTACTGCCGCTCCAATGATCCACCTGGGTGTGTGCTGCTATTTGTTAAAGGGGTGGAGAAGGTGACGTGGGTGTGGGCAGTTTCCACCTGGATGGTGACCTCAAGCTGTCACCTGTTCACTTCTACCTCTCTCTCTCTCCCCTGTACTTGCCTGTGTCTCTCTACCAGGTCTCCATTCTGGACACCAAGCGAGGGATGAACATTGGGATTTTCCTGAAACAGTTCAAGAGGTAAAGACATCTTTGACTCTGACCACAAACACAGCACTGACATCAGTACTGCAGTAAAAAGAAAGTATGGAGCTGCATTGGTGGGGGCATGTTGACTCAAGTAAAGGTGTTGCGATGAAACAGTGGCCAGGAAGTTCAGTTTAAGCAACACATCCATGAGTCTGAAGGCTTCAGACACCAGAATGCAGCACTGAGGAAACAACTTTACAGCTCTTGGCGTACAGGCGCATGACACGGGCCTGCTGAGTCATACACCGCTCTCAGGCTGACACTGGTAGAATATCAGGTGTCTCTGTGCATCAGCTCTGGTTGGGTATTGTCTCCTGTATTACCCAGGGTAACAGTCTAGCAGAGAGGGCGTTGGTGTGTGTTTCTCTGATGGTGTGATTCGTTTCCTCGCCCTCATCCCTGAGTGTTATGAGTAAACAAATGTGGTGATGCTGGCACGGACACGGGAACACTAATTCTATGTTTATGTTGGACTAAAGAGATGGGATGATGTCCATGTCCTGCCGGGTAGAGAGTCAGGAGGCTTCACCTGCAAAATGTCACTAAAAGAGACACAAACCATCTACAAAGACACAAAAAACAATCACAAAGAGAAGTAACACGACCACACAGAGATGCATCATTACCAAAAAAACACAGCTGCAAGAATTCAGAAGAAAGTTACAGAAAGACACAATGCAACTGCAGTCAGACATAACGCAAACACAAGAACTCAGATGAACACAACCGCATGGGGACAGAAAACGGCTACAAAGAGACACACCACAACAGCAAGGAGACAGAAATCTGCTGCAAAGATGACAGTGCAGCTACAAAGAGACGTAACACAGCTACAAAGAGACACACAATAAACATGCCAAACAATTTACAGATAACAACCTATTGTGTCTTGGTTGAAGCTTCGAACCGAGGAGTGTTTTCCATTTGTTTTTGATAAATGACACGATTATTAAACTGGTTTTCTTTTTCTTCAGCTTCGGTTTTGCTCTCTGCTTTGTCTGACACTCTGCTTGTTCTACTTTTAAAAACAAAAAGTTTTGTTTTCAGTTAATTTCCTCTGTTGAGTAATCGCTCAGTGTAACATACTTTATTACCAAGTATAAATTCCTCCTCCAGGTCCAATCAGACATTAGTAGATGATATTCGCAGTGGGAACAGCGAGCCCTACGGCGCCGAGCCTCTGAGAGAGCTGCTGAAAATGCTGCCGGAGACGGAGGAGGTTGGTTGGTTACAGTAACTTCAGAAAGTTTTCCAATCATGACTGTCCCACTGGAGGCCGTTGTTCTCAGCCCTGTGTGGGGTTGGACCAGCGAACTCTCTCTGGTAAAGATCGGGGAAAGACTGTGGTTTTGATAAATGTAAATAAACACAATGTGTCTGAGGTCTCTGTGAACTTTATTGGTTTTAAACCAGACTACAACCTTTCCCTAATCTTCACCGAGTTCCTAAGCGTAGAAACATTTAACAGAGCTGTAGTCAATACAAATAGATGTTGAACTGGATGTTTTGGTGAGAACAAACATGTTGTGAACATTCTGCTGTTGTGTTCAGCATCGGCATATGTGCCGCTAACACACACATTAACGTGTTTATCTGTTTCCTCCTCTATAGGTGAAGAAGCTGGCGGCGTACCGAGGCGACGTCTCTAAGCTCTCATTGGCCGATTCCTTCATGTACCAACTGATTCAGCTCCCCAGGTGAGACGCCATCAGCTGAGCTCACCTTTGACATCGCCTCCAACTATTTGGTTTTGTGTATAAATGTTCACACACTCAGTTTTACAGACCCCCTCTACAGACACTCTGGGTTTGTAGCGTTTTTATCATTAAAATTTAATTAATGCAGTGCCATCTTTCAAACTGCCACTTTTATGTGCATGGAGTTTGTGAAGGCAAATGGGAATCCAAATAAAGACTCGCAAACAGACTGAGGAGACTCGTCTTCCAGAACAAATGGAGCTGAATCGTTCAGTTTCCAGTAACAGCAGATGGTGCAACGACTGAGAAGACTGATGGGATGTGACGCTGATGGGGAATGTGCACTTCATTTAGAGAAACGTTCCCGACTAACACGCTTTCTCATGTGTTCATTCATGTATTTGCAAGCTTGCACTCAGAAAATGTGTGTCTGTAGTTACACAGTTCGTATCGAGTCCATGCTGTTGAAGGAGGAGTTTCCTGGGGCGTGCGAGGCCATAAAACGAGACATTCACACCCTTCGCTCTGCCACCAGAGGTAACAGCTTCCCATTGCCACTGCACAGCTCTGTCAGTTCTGGAAGCTTCAGTATCTGTGGTATATTAAAGGTTAAGTCTGGTCATATTGTTTATTATTGACAACAAATCCCAGGAAGAAGCTGAGCATCGTCTGGCTAACAAGTACAATGATGTGTCAGTGTTGTGTTCACAACTTGTTTGTTGAATGTGCAACTTTTTAATTTGCTCCTGTGAGGAAACGGATTCATTCCATAAAATTTAAGTTTATCAACGTGACGTTTTGCTGCTGTGAGTGAGACTTCTGCCTTTACCGGGTTTTGACTTTTCACGAGATTTGTTCACAATAATAAAAAAACACAAAACAACACCAGATTTGTCCTTTAAACGTGCACTTCCAGAGTATCTGGAGTGTTTTCTCTCCGTCTTTGGTACAAATTAAACATGCAGGGCGACTCATCAGCAGTAAAACATCACTCTCTTCCCTTCACACAACGCAAACTAACACCTTGATTATTTTTAGTCCTGTGTGTGTGAATTGAAAACTGACTCTCCACATGTTAACACTACTGGTGACAACACACTCGCACTCTGTGCTGGGATGTTAGGATTATAAGCTCCTGGTTATCTGTCGTTATAGAGATGGGTTTAGGCCTTTCTCTCCCTCTGTGCCTCTTTATTTCCCCTTAATCTTTTTCTACATGGTGGTGTTTTTGGATTTGTTTCCTTTGATGCAAATAAAGGCGCCTGCTTGTTTTTCCCCTCCAGAGCTGATGTGTTGTGAGGAGCTTCATGCTGTTCTGCACCTGGTGCTGCAGGCTGGAAACATCCTCAATGCCGTGAGTGAGGAAAGGGGATTAATGAATAATTAGACGAGAAATGGAGAAGGGTTGAGGGTGGTGTGGTTAATTTACCATAAAGTAGCTTTAAGATGGTTAAAATCATCTTAATCCCACTGTTGGACCACATTACAGTTGAAGTCAGAAGTTTACATACACTTGGGCTGAAATCATTTAAGTTTTTAACCACTTCACAGACGTCGTGTTAACCAACTCTCGTTTTGACAGGATAGGACGTGTGCTTTGTCCATGACGAGTCATTTTGCCAGCAGTTGTTTACCACGATCCCAGTGGGTCAGATGTTTGTGGACAGAAATGACAAAGCGTGTGCGAGCAAGGCGGCTTCCAAGCCTGACCCAGTTCCACCAGCTCTGTCAGGAGAAATGGGCTGAAAGCAACTTACTGTAGGAAGGTTGTGGAAGGCATTCTGAAACGTTTGCCCCAATTTAACCAGTTTAAAGGCAACGCTACCAAATACTTAAAATATAGTAGTAACTAACTGGGCGGAGACAGGGAATGTTTACATGAATAAATGTCAGGAGCTGTGAAAAACTGTATTTGGTTAAGGTGTATGGAAACTAATGACTTCAACTGTATATAGACGGTGGCTTTAGGAAGTATCCACACCCAATCAACCCTTCTTTATTGTGCTTTTAAATTTTTACTTTAAATGGAAGAAGATTTTATCCACTGTTGTCTGGTTTTACTGTTGTATGTCTCCTGTTGTCTAAAACTTGTCCTGCTGCCGAGGCGACAGGGCTAATCTCATTGTGGTTTTAACTCTGGTTAAATAAAAGTTAAATAGATATAATAATCACCTGATGACCCTCAGATTTATCTGGCGACCCTTTGGAGGGGCCTGAGCCCTAGGTTGGGAGCCATCAGACTAACCAACCTGCCTGTATATGAAGTAGTAAATCTCGCTATAAAATGATGACGCATCAGGATTGAGACTCCTATCATTGTATCAGTCCCGGGGACATTTTACTGCAGAACAAGTACTTTTATGTAGCTGATAAAACCTCTGTACTATCTGTATTTTGAGTACTTGTTCCACTTCGGAGACTGTGTTTGTGTCTAATTGCTGCATGTGTGTGTTGCAGGGAGGTTATGCAGGAAACGCGGTGGGGTTCAAGCTGTCGTCCCTCCTGTCTCTGGCCGACACCAGGGCCAACAAACCGGGCATGAACCTGCTGCACTTTGTCGCTCTGGTCAGCCTGCTTAGCCAGACAGATCCCACCTCGGACACCAGCACACTCATATGAGAACTATAAAATTTAAACACCTGATAAAAATAATACGTTCTTCTCTCATCCTTCAGGAAGTTCAGAAAAAAGGCAAGAAGCTGTTGGAGTTTCCAGTGAAGTTAACTCATGTTCCGGCTGCAGCCAGGTCAGCCAGCATACACAGACACACACTACGTTTCCCATCATGCCTCATACCCTCCTCACACTTTCCCTGACTAGGATAGGTCCTGGAGGTGCTTCTTCCTGCTTCCACCATCTCCTGTCAGTAGATTTTACGGAGTAATAGCGCCCTCTACCCGTTGTGTTCCATAAATCTTGTGGTTAATCTGCAGCGTAGAGGCTGTTTGTCCCTTTAATGTTGACTTCAATCATTTTTGGGTAGGATCTCACTGGAAATGCTGGACGGTGAACTACAGTGGATGATGACTCGCACACGCTCACTAGAGGACAGCGTCCAGACGGACACTGTGCTGCTGCAGCAACTGGACGACTTCCTGCAGGTAACACGCACAAAGCGTAGTGCGCTTAAAGCGACTAAACCATTAGCTTTTCTGTCGCCACCATCACCACTTATTTGAAGTGGCTGTTCATAGTTGTGCAAAAGTCATTCAATCAACAGCAAAGACACGCAAAGTGACCACAAATATACGCACAATGACAAAGAGGGCATTAGAAACATCGTACAGACTATGATGCATTGCTACAGGTGATCCCACAGTATGTGTGTGTGTGTATGTATATATACAGTATATATATATAAAATGATAAAACACTGACCGTGGCTGTTTTTCTCCATAAGTACTTTTACTTTTGGTATTTTGAGTACATTTTGATGATAATGCTTCAAATCCAGGGCTTTTATAGTGGAGTATTTTCACAGTGTACTATTACTGCTTTTACTCGAGTAAATTATTTCACGACTGGCGTTGGTGTCAGTAGTGTTCAGGTTTCTCTTCTCTCCATATTTCTTCCTCTGTCTTCATTAAAGTGTGGTTTTACTTTACTAACAGATAAAGTAGCTAAGGTAAACATTGTAGTAGAGGTATTGGCAGTCGTTACCATCACATTACTAATTACATTTGCCCATATGTGACCAGCCAACTCATTCTTTAAGAATTTAAGACTTTGTGGGTGTTTTGATGCCTGTTGCGTGTTTGTGTTTCTTATTTCTCTTAGTGTGCCACCTCGTCTCTGTGCTCGTTGCGTGACGAGCGGCAGCAGCTCAAGAAGGAAGGCAGCGAGCTCATCGACTTCTTCTGTGAGGACAGAGAGACGTTCAGACTGGACGACTGCTTCAGCATCTTTCACACCTTCTGCTCCAAATTCACCAACGCTGTCAAGGTACGCAAACTACAAAATACCCCAGAGCTGGTGGATATAGTACTGTGATATATGACATTACTGTGATATGAATCTAGATGCTGTGAAGGATATTGGGCATTATTGGTTATTGTGTAATAATTCATATCATTCTCTCTCTTAAAAGCTGAATGTTGGTCTGAAAGGCTCCATTTCAGTTTTGAGATACTGGGCCCTGGTTTGAGGATCCATGATGTCGGATCAAGATGTACTGGGCAAAGTGGTGTTTGGCTGTGCCCATGTTCATTTCCGTAATTTGATGACAAGGAAAAATGGTTCAAGTGTCCGTGCAAGTAGAAAAATGGCTGTACTTGATCTCCTCGTTAAAGCAGGGCGTGTTCTGGGCGTAACATGCAATTATCCAAGGCTTGCGTAACCTCACATCCCCTTTAAGAGACATATGAGTATGAACATTTGGCAGATTCCTAGCATACTGGCGGACTTGACAGGTCAGAGGTCAATAAGATTTTCCACTGAGGAAACGGTTCTGCTCGTGGGTAAGGTAAAGGCGGGCGTTCACTAATCACAATGCTATTTATTATAAATACATATATACTGATGTATACAACATCCAATGAACATAACCTCTTTTATTTTTTAAGTTTAGCATGTCCTGTGCAGCTTGTCCCAGGGTATAACAAGCAGAGTGCATGAGCACTGGGCACGCATCTAGACAGGCACAAATGGCACAGCACAGTCAAAGTGCCCATTAACTAGCAACAATGATTTGACTGTTGACCACCAGCCTGGTTTTTCCTTGTCAGTGGTGCAGTCACTTTGTGCGACCTCATATTACCAACGCACCCAAAATTTACCTGGACACACCCCATTTTCATCCAGCCACACCTGCTGGCGCAAAGTTGACAGGTTGCTGCTTGGTAAAAAGGCAATGTGATGTCATGAGAAAGGTAATGGCGCAAGTAGGAAATTAGGAAACACAGACACGCTACTTGTTATTAATCATACTAGTCATTAATTGGCTCAGCACATTTTAGTACAATCCTCTAGTGGAAATCCCCTGTATCTCAGAGTTTAGCTACTGGTTTCCGACTTTTTATTAGCTGGTTTTAAATATTATAACGGTCGAGGAAGCTCAGCTTTTGAAGAGAGTTCATTTTGGACATATTGCCCAACCTATGTGGAAATGTGAGAGGTACCATCCTTAGAGCCACTGGCATAATTAAAAAAAACTTTTCTGAGCACTGCTCACCTCTGCTGCCCCCTGGAGTTCAAAAAGAGAGAGTAATAAAGCGACCTCTCTCTCTGTCTGTACAGGAGAACATGGAGAGAGAAGCTAAGGAGGCAGCTCGCTGTCGGCGTGTACAGGAAATGGAGGAGAAGAAGAGGCACTCATGGGCCGGAGGCGAGAAGGTATGAGGACACACAGTCGAACAGTGAAACACAAATACAGACAAACTGTTTAATTAGAAATGAAGTTCCACTATCTGATCTTGTTGTAGGTGGGTGGAGCCTTCAAGTTACGCTATGTCAGCTGCCACATCACAACTCAATGAAGCAGGGCTGCTGATGGAGCTCCTGACCTTTAACTCCTGCCCTCGGTCATCTCTAAATAGCTCCCAGAGTTCTCTGGGGCGATCGGGGAGTTTACGACGTTTCCGGAACACACCATCCAGCTCGCCATTTATTGCTGCTGAGCGCGAACTGAGTATGTTCTTGGCGTCCCCTGACCGCAAAGTCATCCAGAAGAGAGGAAGGGCAGATGCAAGGACAGTTTTCTCATCAGCCTCACCTGAATCTGGGCTTAGAAGTCTTGAGCTCTCCCCTCAGACTGGACCTCAAAGTCCAAGGGTCAGAATGCTCGGCTTCACCGAAAACCAACAGCCTCAAATTGACCAGATGGAACCACAAGCCCCTTCTTCACCTCCCAAGACCTCTTGCAATCCAAAAAACACAAACTCAGACCATACAACCACCACTTACCTCAGGTGTGATGCCACCCAGACTCCAGTAGACACCGTTAATACCACAGTGAAACCTACCTCTGATTCAAACCAGCAATTTGGCCACAACAATAACAGCAGCAAAGATCCTCAGTTTGGTATATGGGGGGAAACAACTGGAACAAACGAAGCTGATCAGGACTCCAGTGATGAGAAGCTTGAACCCAGCACTCCTACTTTGGGCAAAATGTCTGTGGTTATAAAGACATGCACACTAATTCGTGAGCTGAGAGTGTTCAGCAATATCCCTAGTAAAGAGCATCACACCGGTCATCAGCAGGACGATATGGCAATCACAGATGTGGAAGAAGACAGAGTAGACAAATCCAGAGTGGAGAAGGAGCAGAATAACCCCCAGACTGGGAATGCACAAGGATCTGAGACATACCCGTCCTCGTCACCAAGAGAAGAAGAGGACAGACAGGAGGAAAAGGTGGTTGTATGGTGTGTGACAGGTGTTTGTGAAGCAGCTGCCGAATTCACACATGCTGACAACACACACACAGAGGCTGAGAAGGATCAGTGCTGCAGTGACAATCAGGGAGGAAACCAGCAAGCTTCCTCCTCCCCAGCCCATTGCACACCATCAGAACCTCAACCTGCCAATGAGAAGCCAGTGCCTGTACCCATAAGCAGCCAACCAGTGCCTGTCTCCCGTTGTGATGACCTGTCAATTCAAGGCTCTTCCCACAGGTGGTTCCCAGCAGAGCCTTTATCAGCCAGTGAAGCGCCTGCTCTCACCACAGATGCCTCTGAAGAAGATAAAGAGTCAGCCAGTCAAGGGGGAGAACCAGAGGGCTCGACCAATGAGAACAGAGATGTGGAAACGGTCCCAGAAAAATCCACAGATAAGAGCAGCAAAAACAAGACTGCCTCTTGTCACACTAATGGAAAAACAGCTTCTTACACCAATGCAAAGCCAGAACTGGCAACTTCAACCCAGCCATCCACCAAGTACCTCCCTAATTCTAAACCTCAAGCCACCTCAACCCCAAACACCTCCCCGTCCAATGCCAACAAATCCAAATCCGTCCAAACCCTCACCACTTTTGAGAAGGAGGACTTGAGGCGAGTTGTGTCCGTCTCACGAACCAGGCGAGGTACTCCATCTCTGGAAAAATGTCCCGAGAAGCCTTCTGGTGTCCGCCGTGGATCTACACCCACCAGTTTGAACCGTTCCTCCATCCGACGAGGAGAGAGGCCATCAACTGCTCCTTCATCCAGACGCTCCAGCATCAACAAGACACCAGACCCCAAGGACTCAAAGGTCCAGAAGGTTTCTGGTACTCAGACACCTGCTCGAGAGCAGGGCTTGCAAAGGAAGCCATCCATCCGAAAGACCTTAGCTAAACCCAAACCCCAGCCAGAGGAAAGGATGTGTCGCGCCACACTGCGAGCCCTTGGTCAGGCAGGAGATGGAGGAGGAGGAGGAGGAGGAGGAGGCAGTGTCAGTGCCCCTGCCACCCCTTTACACAAAGCCACTACCCCTTCATCACCTCTTCCAGGTTTTGCCCGAAACACCGCTGCCTCTTCTTTCAGAAAGAACCACACCACCCTTAGTCCTCCTCATTCACCCCACACTGGTTCATACTCCTCCCCTAAATCACCCCCAAAGACCACCTCTTCCCCCATCTCCCCACGTGGCACCTCACCTTTCACCCGAACAGGGTCACAAAGAATGTCAGGAACATCCAGATTATCAGATGTCCTCAGCCGAACCCCAGTGAAGATGTCTCCAAACATCAGGTCACCTCCTTGCTCACCGCTGCACGACTCGCTGACTCCCCCTAAAGCCCCCAGGCAGAATGACAGTGGCAGCTTCCCTGAAAAGTCAGCTCACTCTAGGGACTTGGATAAAGGAACCAGACCAAGCTGGAGGTAACAGGAGAAACCAGAGGTAGAGCAGAGTCTATTACTCCTTTCTTCTTTACTGGAGCTAAAAGAGAAATCGGAAGATGTTTAAACACGAAATATAGACACTGCATTCCT